TAGACATTTATGATTATCTTTACTTAGCATTGTTCTCCCGCTACCGGTAACCGTCATAATTGCACCAAAGTATTACTCGAGGTAACGAGAACTAAACAATTAGAAAGGCCAAGAAAGGAAAATCCCTAGAGGCGTCGACAAATAAACGGGAGTAAATTATCTGAGCAAACGTTGTCGTAACGTCGACCTTTTTTCAAAGGAAAAAATTAAAACTTTATAATCCCATCCATTTATAAGGACATCCAGGTAACCCTGACCACCATTTTTTTCGGCGGTTTATCATTTATTTTTACCTGTTAAGTTTCTTCAATTGAATTCAATCTTGCCAAACAATGAATCCCTACAGACTGGATAATCAATGGTGAACTTTTAGATAATACTTTGAAGTGATGCTCAAAAAGTAGGTAGGAACTAGAGTGTGAATATACACACAATCAGCTGTTTAAAAGTCTATTTTGAACTGTCTTCAATGGTGTTCACATGATCATACATACACTTGCAAGTTTGAACGATTATTGAGGGAAAGTGAACCGTGAATTCAATCTTCCCAAACAATGAGTAATCCCTACAGACTGGATAATCAATAAAATGAATACTAATTACAGGAGATTAAAAAAGAAACTTAAATAATAAAAGTCATGGGTGCAACTACCGTTGACTTTATTCGCAAAACCAAAATGCTCAAATCAGTACGCGACTTCATGTTATTGAACAAACGTTGATGTAAACTCGTTCAATTAATCCTTAAACAAATAAAGATGCACAGTTTATGTTTAAATACCTCGCAATATTACAACGCAATTTTAACGTAACTTTAGAGATAATGTAGCATGACTGTAGCTGCATTACTTCCTAGTAGTTAAACTATTTTTATTCAGACAAGATTTCAACTTGTGTAGTTACAGCATAATGCAGATACTGTTATTAAAATCGTATCGAGAGCACCAGAAAACGGAAATGCCTTTCCTCGTTTGAGCTCGACTGGTATCGCAAAACAGACACATAAAATTATTTTAAAAAAGGATCCGCAATAATATTTCCCACCACCTTTACGAAATAATTCGTAAATTTTTTCCTCTCCGGATATTTAAGACTTTTGTGACTAGTTTATTCGAAGGTACATGAGGTATAACTTTGCTACTTCTGGCGCATTTCATTCAATGAAAACGACGGAATGAAGTTCAAGAAGAGCAGTGGAAAAATTTAAGATAGATTCTACTTCCGTAATTCCGGTTTCTTACCGTAAGTTCTTAGAGAAACCCGCGGAAGTTTTAAAACTTTTCAACCATTACTTCTGCGGTCTATTGCTTCGCTGATGAAAAAGCGGGAAGTTCGATGCTTGGACCGATCGAGGATAATTACAGATTATCGATATAATTCGGGTCAATCCAGAGATGCCTTTAGACAAGAAGCCAAACTTACATGAAACGCCTTTATGTTATTAACTGACGAAGGTTGGTACTGATTGAAGCTTACTTAGTAATGTATAATTACTTCCTTTTCTCTTGATGTTCCTTTCTCGCCTGGAAAAAATATACAATTTCATTAATTTTTTCTGGTGATCTACTAGATACCTGTAATTACTTAAATTTCCACTGGATATATTTTATATTATATGAACATATATTTGCATATATTTAAATTATGTGAACAATATTACACAGTTTAGAAGTAATTCGTACTCCATGCTTAAATGGAACCAGTAATGTTGAATGTATTGTAAACGAGTTCTGATAGATGAAAATAAAATGATTTACTATTACTTTACCTGCTACTGGAAAGGTAAATTATATTCTGATTTAGGGGAGTCTATATGCAACTGTTATATACATACGTGTTTATTAGAAACATATTAAAAATAGCAAATAGCTTTGGCATAAAAAAGACAACTATATCCTTTTTTTGAACAACTCGAACAATGCAATACTATAATCTATAACAGTACATTAGTCACTTTACTACAATAACATTACAATGATGTAGTGATATTGAAAGACGTTAGAAGTCGTTATTGAAGAGACATTTTCATAGTACCTTCATCAGAAATATATCATTACATTTCATTACGTTTACACATCCTACCCAGGCAACCCATGAAATGGAAATACGTAAATTAGATCTATAGGTAAAGCAAATGTATATTGTCTATCATTCACCTAAAAAAATATCTAAAGGATATATATAAATATCTATGTCTATTGTAGATAAAAATTATATATCCACTATTGATCTACAAATATCTACTAATTTTCTTGACGCATACAAAATATATAATAGCTCTAGTAGACATCTACCAAAGGTTAATCAACATCGTTGAAAATATGTATAGATAAATAAAAAGACACCTCATGTAACCTAACATTTTTCATAGATACTTAATGTTTATATCTAAATTCCAATTTGATAAAACTGTTAATTTCGGCCATACTCTGATTTTTTATTTACTTCCTCTTTGGCTGGTGATCATACATCATTATTATTTACCACTATATAAATTATGATGTGATGAAATTATAATTTCTGTGTCAAAAGCAGCAGGATTTGTCTGCATAGCTGTACTAAACAAGTTCTCAAACAGACTCTGCTCAAAAAGTGTTATGAATTTAATTTTTTTACAAATATATATGAATATCTATAGACCATCTATTGCAGATATCTACAATATATATATTACGTGCCATATCCGAACATCTAGCCTTTTTGTGTTTCAAAAATAGAGTTCATAGATATCTATCTGTATATTACATACGTTCAATAAACATTTATATATGATTAATTTACGGATATTCCACGTTCCGCGGCGCCTGGGTAATTGTACAAGCCTATAAACAGCTAATCAGTTGCTCTTCAAATGTAAATTAAAATCATCACATAGGGCAAATAGCTTTACTTTCAGTTCACCGGCCTAGACATTTATGATTATCTTTACTTAGCATTGTTCTCCCGCTACCGGTAACCGTCATAATTGCACCAAAGTATTACTCGAGGTAACGAGAACTAAACAATTAGAAAGGCCAAGAAAGGAAAATCCCTAGAGGCGTCGACAAATAAACGGGAGTAAATTATCTGAGCAAACGTTGTCGTAACGTCGACCTTTTTTCAAAGGAAAAAATTAAAACTTTATAATCCCATCCATTTATAAGGACATCCAGGTAACCCTGACCACCATTTTTTTCGGCGGTTTATCATTTATTTTTACCTGTTAAGTTTCTTCAATTGAATTCAATCTTGCCAAACAATGAATCCCTACAGACTGGATAATCAATGGTGAACTTTTAGATAATACTTTGAAGTGATGCTCAAAAAGTAGGTAGGAACTAGAGTGTGAATATACACACAATCAGCTGTTTAAAAGTCTATTTTGAACTGTCTTCAATGGTGTTCACATGATCATACATACACTTGCAAGTTTGAACGATTATTGAGGGAAAGTGAACCGTGAATTCAATCTTCCCAAACAATGAGTAATCCCTACAGACTGGATAATCAATGGTGAACTTTCAGATAATACTTTGAAGTGATCCTCAAAAAGTAGGTAGGAACTAGAGTGTGAATATACACACAATCAGCTGTTTAAAAGTCTATTTTGAACTGCCTTCAATGGTGTTCACATGATCATACATACACTTGCAAGTTTGAACGATCATTGAGGGAAAGTGAACCGTGAATTCAATCTTCCCAAACAATGAGTAATCCCTACAGACTGGATAATCAATGGTGAACTTTCAGATAATACTTTGAAGTGATCCTCAAAAAGTAGGGAGACACTAGAGTGGATATACACACAATCAGCTGTTTAAGTCTTTTTCGAACTGCCTTCAGTGGCGTTCATATGAATGCTCATACATACGCTTTCAAGTTTGAACGATCATTGAGGGAAAGTGAACCGTGGAGTCCAGTTAAGCAATACAAGTCTGCTAGTCGCGGTGACCATTACATCTGGATCACTTTATTTGCGATTTTATGTGAGCATTGCAAAATGCAGTTAGAGGCTCCACGCTTCGTTTGCTTTGCTCGCAGAGAAGGTACCGTGATCCCTAACAAAAGTGCCCGTGGCACTTAACAAGGTACCAACCGCAAGGTTCACGGTAACTTCTTCTGGGCCCAACCTAAGCGTAGCAACACTTTCCATCCAAAGAAACTTCCAGACAATCGATTGATGTTAGGGGATTTCGAATCGCTAATGTGACGTCAAATATTAAAGAACAATAATGTCATATCGTTATAGTCATGACTAATTGTATCTTAACAACATAAGACACATTTCATTAAGTTTTCTTCAGACTCCTCAGTTTTGACTTAACTTGTTGAGAACGCAAAATAATTGTCATAAAAGGCTTGATTTTGAAAGGAATTTATCGAAAATTAACAGACATCCCGAATGAAATTGAAAAATTAATAAACCATAATTATAATACATTTGTTGATTAACGAATTTGGACATAGGTACAAACTCTAAAGGATTCGAAGTAGGTAAACATTTTTTTTCCACCGTGTAGTTTAATTCCATTGCATACCGATGTCCTTTTTAGGTAACAAAATCCGATATATGGCAGAAGTTTATATATTATAGATTATTATAGAAAATATTTGGAAGATTGACTTGTGGTATTTGTATATAAATAAAACCAAATTTAAAAAAAGATAAAACTTTTGCATACTCCCAATACATTGTTCAAAGCCTCAGTTTCGGAAATGAACAACAAATTGGGATCGCTTCTAATAATATTTATATACATGTCTAATGAACGGTAGGGTAAGGTTAAGGAAGTCTCAATTGGAATAACACCTGTGTTAGGATTAAACTTTAAATTAATTAAATTGAAAATTGAAAATATAGTGAAATGTTAACTGGAGATTACGAAAATGTGGAGCGTATGATTCTTGAGGAATAATTAGAATAACTCGGTTAAACTGAGCGACTGGAATTTTTGTATAATAATTGACAGGCCGTAGAAAAGATGTGTATACAAACGTTTTAACTTAAAAATATTTTTCAGGTCCTCGATCGATTAGTAATGGTCGAAGGCGCAGCTGATAACGAAGAAGCTCTCAGGAGCAAAAGGACAATTGGGTTACTACGGCAGCTATTTCCGGGAGTGTCTCAGGTAAGCCAATCCTTAAAATTGTTCTAGTTAATATTTACATTAATAGTGATAGTCGATCTGACAATCAGACGTTACATATGATCGTTTCACAGCCATTTCTTGGACATCGTACTAAGACCACCTGAATGTTATCATAGTAATAAGGACTGCTCAGACGTGATACTCTATTCTGACGTTTCACGCCTTACTAATACAAATTAACAATGTTTTGGTAATATTGATATCAAAATTAATGTAAGAAGTATATGCATATATACACAATATGGACATCTATATTTACTAATTTATTACCGACTTTGACCCGACTCTTAAACATTGCACTTATCTCAGCTATTTACTCTACCTTCACATATGATAACGGTTCTATAAAAACCATCGTTTTTTAACACCAACAAAAACTTATCGTGCATTTCACATGAATTTCAAAATGAGTTATTTTAATACAAAATTTAATACTTCTTGTTCAGTTAACTCTGACAAATTTCACGAAACAGATTGTTCCGAATGTTGAATTGTAATTTTGCTAATTGATAATTTGCAAAGACGCATTGTCAGGTTGTTGAAAAAAATTGACGGAATCAGTTTAAACTACAAATCGATGTACAAGACTGAATTCATCTGAATCTTCACATGATAAAGAAATAGAACTTTTATTTAATGTCAAAAGCATAATACGATATTCAAATCATGCAACTTTTTGTACTTCACTTCACCTATTATTGAGTGTGTGTGGGGGGAGGGGGCATTATCAGCCATTTAAAAAGTCTAATCATTGTCTTCTCATTCATGATGGATTAATTTCCTACATCGTCATAGATGAGTCATTTGAGTTCTTCATGAAATCTCTAATTTTGAGATAAAATAAATTGTGATCTATCGATCCCTTACGAACTCCCGGACATGAGTCTATTTGACATAATCCTAACTAGACATGTACATTTGGAAAGAGAATTTTGTTAATTCAATAAAGGTGTTTAATCGGTGACTTTAAATTCCACAATATTTCCAGAGAAAAGCTCACTTAATAACATTTAATCGCGCACCTCAATTAAAAGAAAGACACGAATCAAAACAAATTTTTATGAATTTACATAAGGAATACATGCAGCTGAAATGAAAGAAATAGTTGCTGAAAGTAAATGTTACCTTTAATAACTGAAATTGTAATTTTCAAGTTCGATGACTTCTTGGATCATAGTTTTGTTGGTACAATTTTTCCATTATTCTTTATTTCTGAGGAGCGGCAAAAAATTGAAGGACCATAAAAAATAACACATTGTGAGAGTATTCAGAAGAATTCCTTTGTCAGACAAAGATTGCATTAAGTCGTGACTGTCAGCAGACATACATTGAATTAAGTCTTGACATAAACTATGATAAGACAAGTGCTATTATCCACATGCGAACGTCAGGTTCGATTCAACTTACACATATAACCGCTACGATACGTACAAGTCCGTGCAAGGACTTGTAACAATTATTTAAACATACGCAAGAGTCGCATTTAGAGTTCCAGCTGCTCTTCAGGCCCAAAAAATTAAATAGACTTTTTTAACTTATTTATACATATAAAAGAATTCCATCGATGTTTCCTATTAAAAGTGTAGAAAAGTGTAGAAAATGTTTAAAATTCCCATTAAATCTAATTACACCACACTATCTCGGTATACTCGTTTTTACAGTTCCTGAAGGCAATATTTACAATTTCGTATAGGGACTTATAACTACCGCGTATGGGAGCATAATTTGGCCTCAACATGTAGCAAGTGCGCAAATAAACAGCCCATTGTCAGCCCGAATTTGAATGCATTTATTACTGGGTTCGAGATAATTAGTACATACATTAAACGTCAATCACCGTATGTACTTGTTACAGCCAGTCTGTTTTCATACAAGAACTTTTTAGTAGACATAGTTCCCTAGTTACTGTTTAGAGCCTTGAGAAAATCATTAAATTAGCATTTCGGTGCATATTGCACCGTTAAAAATAATATATGCGTACACTAAATATCACGGTTTTCAGGTCGTTACTGCTGCACGGTCCGTTTTAAAAGAACACAGTTGAATTTCTTACGTAGAAGTCTAGGTACATACTTAATTGCCATAATGACATCTAGATATTTTGTGAATGTCGTACATTGACAAATGAATTACATAATTTAAATTGCACATATCAACAAATCGGGTGCTTCGGATCGTGGTTCATGATTATTAAAAGCACGTATTACGTGTAAAATAATGAGAGTCTTGTGAAAGGTCCAAAATGTGGTCGGACTTATTGTTAGTTGTTGCGGAGACACATCTATTCTTTGTTGAACTATAAATCGCAATCAATAGTACAATCCGCTCTGCTACAATTGTTCGTCATGATTGACTGTCAAACTTATGATCAAGCATTGTTTCTTTTGCCCTCATCTGTACTACTGCTCGCCAAACAGACATGTCTTCTCCATCAACCATCAAGTCCCACAGATTTTGGACCTTTCATAAGACTCATCTTAAATACTTCTAACAATAAGCTATTCAGCGTATGACGGAAAAATTCGTCCTACGAAATCGCCATATTTTCATAATACACTCGCGCATATTCAAGTAATACGTCACATATCAGCTTTATACTTTTTATGTCACTCAAACCCAAAACGAGGTTATCTTTTTAATTCTTCCTTTCTATACGTTTACTTTATACGTGACATGCGAGAAAACTAGGTTACTTAGGCGTGATATAGGGAAAGTCGTGGCACAACTCGCAGTGAAAGACTCTGTCTTTTGATTTGTCTGCTCCAAATGCAGCATGGCATAGCGCCTGTCAAACGAGGCAACTAACGAGCAGATGAAACATCCCTTATTAGAAAATATATCATTATAAAAATTTCTCTTAAGAACCCTGTTCATCAATGCTTTTAATCACGGTTATTAATAACGAATAAATACCACTAACGTGCATTTCTAACCATTTAACAGCGTCGACATTAATTGAAATGACGAAGCGTCTTGCCGTCCCTAAACGCAAGACCTGAAAAAAAGATCTCTAGTTAATCATCCTTTCATCGAGGCGGGGGTAAAGACCCTAATGACCAAGTGATGTTTCATCTCTTAAATGCCGCTAATAATTATTGCAAAACCTCCGCTATCCATTTCAGATCCCGTCTATCCGAAATGATTGGCCTACATTTTTAATTCCCAAGTTAGAAGTATACCAATGATGACATCGATCACCTTAAATTAATTTGTTTCTTTTAGTAAACATAAAAACCCCGTGAAGAGTTGCTTTTTGATGTTTTCGATCTAGTTGGATTAATTAACGGCAACCCGGAAAAATGAAACCTCTTGAGGTAACAAATGGTATTTTCTAAATCCCGAGCACCACTTCGCCAGGGCCAGACTTAACACATAACGCGTCAAACTCATAATCGCATCTCGTTAAGCCGACATTCTTCCCGTGAAAGTCACCAACACACCGTGAAGTTCTCACTCGCTCACTAGTTGCATTCTCTTTGTTCGGTTGCACCGTGCGATCGTCTTGTAGGTACGTACAACGGAAGACATGAATGCCGCCCCTGTAGATACGGCATCGCCTGTGCAGGTTGGGAGGGCATTGATGTCTCCCAGTGTACCTTGCTTACGCGTGCGATCGTCACGCATCGCAACGTCATCAACGGACCGAGGAGGGCCGATGTTGTGCGTTATGAAGGCGGAAGAGAGAGAAACATAAGCTTCCGCCCCATTCGAATTCCGGAAAACATCCCGGTCGATTTACTCACGGATTTTCCACTCGTTCGAAACTCTCTTAAGTTTACGATCTCCTGTGAATAAAGGCTAGCGATCTTAGTAGAACTTCATCTTGCGGAAACAACAAGACGTTAGGATGACGATTTCTGAGAAAACTACCGCGAATTTCAGAGTTTGACAATTTTATAACGCTCCTTATAACGTTTTTTTTTTTTATTGTCTTACAATATCGTCCTGTAGGAGAATTGTTTTGCCAGCAAAACTGCCTGACAAACAGAAAAAGTAGGTAAAGCAAGTAAAAAATTGACGGGTTAGGATAATACTACGGATGCATATGTAAACATTTGAGAAATAGGAACTACGTGAAATTTTATACAGGACTTATTTTCAGTCTCTACAATTGTTACCTATATCAATTTTCTTACTTACATAGAGGAATATGTTCGGAAAGATATGAAGACTGAGCAGCGTTGTTAAGTTAAACTCCATTTCTATTTTATTATATCCTAGTGCGTATTCCGATGGGGCGAGAAAAAAGAATCTTATCAAAGCCTTATCTGGATTTCGGATATTTCCTATTTGCCCATCGTTGATAAACTTGCACCTTGTCGAGCGGCCAGACACAATAAGTGAGACAGAAAGACGAGACAAGACAATGGAAGTCGATGGCATGCAGATTATCCTTGGCTGGAGCTCCATACTCGAACGAAGTGAAAGCTAATTATTTTTACGACATGGAAAATAAAAATGTACAGGACCGCGCAGAAAGAGCTCGATAGCCGAGGCAGGTCGTCGGAAATTTCTGAATCAATATGAGAAAATTTATCTGTGAGACTTCGTCGTGATAGCATCGTGCAATCGACATGATAGGTAATTCCATCTAGCCGGTCGCGGATTATTAGGGTAGAAATCGAATACTTTCCAACGAATTATAAGAACCCATCATCGTCGATATTGACGACGTACTGAACTGTACATACATGCCTGAAATGCATATAAGGGGAAAGTTTATGCTGCCGTCCTAAAATTAGCTCCAAAAACTTCCAATTATTAATTACAAAAAATCAACGGAGGGAAAAAAGAATGCTAGGACTATGTCTTCTGTAAATAATGTATTTAAATTGCAATATACTATCTATAACTGCTAGTAATATTTCAAATGTAGTCCAGCTATTTGTAAATAGTCCGTAATTTACCGCTTTCTTGGAGTTTCAACAGTTGTAATTATGCCCTATTAAGTAGCCAAGGTGCCAGCTATTGCACATAATTATGTGCATGAAGAAATTATGAATAAGGCTATCAGACCCACATGCATTAACGTCGGTATTAGATTTAGATAAACATGCCACATTTGAATTCTTTGTCCCTATATTTGCAAGGCGTCATAAGACTATTTCTTCTGAAATGAAGCATAAACATATCAAAGTTATTCTAATTTGTTAAATAGAAAGAGTGGGATTGATTGCACTTCATGTCATAGAATTCGAAATAATGCTGTACGTACTATTAAATTGATCGTTCTTCAAGATAATATGGAAATTATGAGGTCAAGTCTTACTTTCATAGCATGTAGAAAGTTTACGACAGAATTCCAAACCACGATATGCAAATATGGAATGCTTAAAATTTCGTTGTATATTTCAGTCGAGATTTGTCTAAACTCTAATGCGTTATGTAAATTGATGGAAGTAATACTATTATAAAAATGGTAATTATTGATATCTTATAAATGAATGTACCATCCTTTAAGCACCAAAACGATGTTATAGGTCAACAAGATATTTATGTCATGCATTTATATCAATATTTACCTAAACACTGTGTCTCAAAATTCGTCATGGACTCATTTATCACGCTGGATATTCAATTACCATAACCATAGCTTTGCATTAATGCACATCAATGGAATCGTAGTCAGCACGGAAAAGCACCTTAAACCTACTTACATATATTGGGTTCAAATATCGCATAACCCGAATTTCCAAATTCACAGAATCTCACAAAACCGGGTAGAATCTTTAAATCTATGAACTTTACCATTCGTAGCTTACCACGTTTTAAACGCAGCCTTAATAATCGTAATTACCCACGATAACAAGGAACCCCTACGAGATCACAATTCGAGTACCACGTAATTCTAAAATTGAACGAATTGGAAGTAAAATTAGAAGTGGTAAACCACATTCCGAAGTTCACGATCACCATAAACGTGAACGACCTAACGATTACGCGTAATTGAACGGAGACCTATAGAACGAAAAGATGGACCAATCCTCCTGGACTTTACACATGTATAAAATGGCAATCTTCTGAAGTAGACGTCCCCATCAGGAGGTTGAAGAACATATTTAAATGCTTCGCCATACCGAGCAATTAGTATCAATCCATCGATCACAGTTTCGATCATCTGGAGGATCCGCCGCATCGATACATTGGGTTTTATCAGATTCGTTGTCAGTCAGTCATCTGGATCGACCTAAACCTGTCGAAATAAGCATAGAAACCCCCATCTGTATCTTCTGGTGCACCTCCATTACCGCTCGTACATTTCCATGAGAAAAGTCACGACAACCGTGACCGCCATGACCGACCAACAGACAGCCTTGACCAGGATAGTTAAGTCCTCTTGTTTTCTAGATAGTCGAACAAAAGGTCAGCGCGATTACATCGGAGGTCATCCGGATCCTCGGGCCGATCGTGCTGCGGGGGGTCTTAGGAGGAGGCGGGGGCGGGGGCTTAGGGGGCGGTGGCGGGCAAAGTGGCGGGCAAAGTGGCGGAAACAGCGCCGGAACCATTGTGACGGCGAAGTCGCCGTTCGACGATGACGACGGAGACGATGCCAATGGCAGCGATTTATCCGCCGTCAGCCGAGGCGGCTCCAAGGTCTCTATATCCTTGCCAACCTTCCCGCCGGACGAGGCCGAGGACGAAGAGGGCGAAGACACTACCACCCCTGGCGCTGCCACTACCAGTAGCGGTACCACGACAAGTGCTACCGCCACCACCGATGCTACAGAACCCTCGGTACATTTGTCCTTGATTACCTCGAACGAGGCTCAGGAACGTCGAAGGCCTCCGCACTTTTGAGACTGCTGCGAGAGCTGCTGACCCTAAGAACCTCCTTTGGCATGATCCAGCTCTGTCTTCTTTCGTCTTACTCTCCGGGCTTCCGTTGACGTGCTTTCACCTCGGCTTACGCTTACCTCGCTTTTGCTTACAAGAAACTTCGCGACGTCGTAAGTAGCTTCGGATTTAATGCTGGGAAACGAAAAATGGTACCTTCGGGCGACGAACCTGGGGGGCGATCTGTACATTGTCACGACACCTCTTGTATGAAACTCTTGTTATATCTGATCTTCGTTGCCTTAAGGTCAAGAACGTCGAGAATCTCTCGAGCTGAAAGGTGGGAACTTCTTTCCAAGAACCGTCGTTCACCAAACGCTCTTCGGTCTTTCTCTCTTGGTTTCTCTCGACGGCATCAAAGGCGGCGAAAGTTGACGAAATAGGAAAACTATTATCGCGTTATCGTTAATCCCGTTCTGCCTCTGCTTTCTCCGGGTGGACTTATCTTCACTTAGAAGCTCCACTTTCTTATACTCATCTTGACCTTCTGAATGTTTGGCGCAGTTTTGAGGGCCACGTGATCGCTTCTTACGACTTCGCGTCGATTCTTACGCGTCTTTAATCGACACTTCATTTACCTAGTTACCTGTCTTCCGTCCCATATGTTGTGTAGGAGAGCATGAGAAAGACGATGAAAGGGAACGTTGAAATGAAATCTCACCATCACTGCTATTACTGCGGAATCCCTGGTACCGGTGACCTCGACTATCTCGGGACAGTGTTCATGACCTCGAACAAGGTCGAAGAGGAAGACCTCCACGTAGAATGAGTTGCTGTGAGAGTTCCTGAACCAAAGAATGTTTTCACGTGAATGAAACTTTCCTTTGTTTAACCTATTCCGTTTACGTCGACGCCCTGATCATCACTTTGTACTTTGTACTTCGTGCTTTTTACTTTGCTTTCGTATACTTTACCGAGCGCTTTTCTTCCTGCTATCGCTACCTGGTCTACGTTTTAACACGTTTTCTAATAAAGGTAAATAATAAAAATACAAATATGTCCCCAGCGGTTACGTGGTAACCTGAAAAAAACGTATCTTTACGTCACTGGCACTAAACGTGCTAAGAGCTTTTCATTCCTTCTCATAAAGAAGATTAGGATTTGTAAATTAAACACGTCTGGAGATGTGTACAAGAAATATCGAAGCATTATTGCTAAAAAAATCAGCGCAGAATTATGCTTAATAATTTTGCAGATGCATGAGCGGATTCTAATCAAGATTCGCTAACTTTGGATCGCATTCGTTCTTCGTATTGGTATCAATGACTGTAACCTTGTAAATAATCTTTCGACAAGTTAAAAAATTTCTTATAGGAATTACCAAGACTTTTAACGCACTAATCGTACGTACAAATCATAAAAGATATTGGATTTCCCCTTGTCAGACCGCAATTGTGCGTACCGCTGTAATATTGCTGAAAGTAGAAGCCTTTTCTGGTGCAATAATTTGTCCAATTTCTTTCTTCTTTCATCTTGTGCACTCAACTATCGACTCAGTAACCTAACTACACTTACCTGTCACTCTATATAACGTGTACACCTGTGCGACGCGTCTTAATAAAAAAGTATAAGGTACTGGAGGTAACATGGTAATTGTAATTGCGGTATAATTATCAGAAAGATCATTGAAAAAAAAAAAACGGCAAGACTTTGATCCTTGTTATTAGCGCCGTTATTTCTACGTAATCCTTGGTAGATTTGATCTTGAGCACGGTGGAGTCGTTCTTGGCCTCGATCAAGTCGGTTAGCAATTGCTATTAGCATTGTCTGTGGAATCTGCTCTGCGAAATTGCAACAAAAAGCAAGAAAAGCGTAAGTTCCTATTTTTGTAGAATTCTCTTTCTCATTATGTCTCCATTGATTTACCTATGTTTTCTTATGCACATTTACTCTTCAATTACCTGACGCATCTCTGTAAGCGATTTCCTTTAATAGAGCCAAAAGTGGTCATTAAGAATAGGAAATAATCCGGAACGAGGTCTTTAATATTATCTGTTGGATGCAATGCACCAATGTTAATTCCAATGACTTAACGTAATTCCGTTTATTATTTAGGGTATCGGACTAGGTTTTCTTATTCTCACTCATTCATTGAGTTTCGTCGTTAGAAAGAAGAAGAAACGATTGACCTCGGTCTATGAACTTATGAAGTTCAAAGATCTTAAGGTGAAGTGAAACACGTCGAGCAACTTGATCGACGTCGATAAGGAAAATTTTTCTAAATGCCTACGTTGCCGACGTTGGTTTTTATATTGACAGCTGTGTCGAATTATATTGGATATTGTACCAAATGGTATACTCCACCTGTCGTTTTCGTACAATAAATATCAAGAAATCAAAGTAAAACTCCAGAAATCCTCTGGATTCGTGCTTTCTGGGGCCCTAATTGACTGCAGAGGGACCCCCTGCGCCATCTGTGATTTCAAGGTCAATTAAATTTTCGCGCCAGGACCTCGTATTCCCATCGTTTTAGCATAGAAGCGCATACAACACTTTTTTTGCCTTTATCCCGTTGAAATGCGAGTTTATCGAATACCAGAGTGTTCTAAATTGTCGTAAAATTGTCCTGACACTTTTGTTTCTCATATCAGAGCCTTCGATAATTGTATATTGATCGAAATATGAGAGCTCGACGCCATTTTGATTCTGGTCTGGGTTGTTAAAAAATTTGTTTGAAAAATCCAAATTTTGAATGTGTCAGGCCAATTCTTAGATGATCACGAGTCATGTGTCAAAATTTCTGACAGTTTGGTCGAGTACCCTTAAAAAATAAGTGTTGTATTCGAATCGACTGATTTTAAGGGGGTTTCACTTCACCTTAACGAGTCTATTTTTACGCTTACCACCAACAATCGGTAGGAACCAGTTCAATTTTACGGTTCGGATGAACCGTACAATTTTTGGATATTAATGAAGGAATAGAATGTCTTTCTTTTCCCGCAATGTATCTGAATTAACCTCAAGAATGTACAAAATTAACACGAAACAATAATTCCTAAGGAAACATTGCTTCTCGTATACCATTCGAGCAATACATCGCGGAAAAATCTTGGTTCTGGTCTGGGCTAAGTTAACAAATTCTGTCCAAAAATCCAAATTTTGAATGTGTCAGGACAATTCTTAGATGATCAGGAGTGATATGTCAAAGTTTCGGACAGTTTGGTCTAATATCCTTAAAAAAAAGTGTTGTATTCGAATCGACTGATTTGATGGAAGTTTCACTTCACCTTAAAATTTGTTCTGACGTTTGTCCAACTGGAACCATTTCTGGAATAGGCTTCCGAAGTAATGGAGTGATTTCCCTGACGTGGATGACAATTCTTGAAGCTTTCCTTCCATTTTGGATGGCTTCTTCCTCTCTTTCTCTGTCTTCTTTTAAGCTGACTGCAATTCTTGTTACACCGATAACCAACCTTTTCCGCAACAAGTTAATTACAAGGTGAAACTGCTGATAATGGCGCCTGATATTACCGAGGAAAGGCCATTGCATCACCCCAAGGCTAGGATTATCCTTGAGAAATGTTCTCTGATTACAAAGATAACTTATAACCTACAACAACCGAAACCTACAAACAACCATCTTGTGTTTTTATATTTTCGGGAACACGAAAATAAATGTAATAAAGTCTCCAGGTTTTATTTCCTTAACGGGAAAGTTTCATAAAAATTGTACGCTTTCAGTGTATAGGAACGTATTAATATGTATTTTATACATACAACGTAAGACTTGCTTACGCTTTTGTTTAAATCAAAGATCTTCGGGGAACTGGTGCCAAAGTCGGTCTCTTCGAAATTTGTTGATCTCTTTACGATGTTCTTATCTCTAGCTCTAATTTATTCCTTTAAGTACTCATATTAATGAATTTTACGTAAATTAACCGTCATTGTACTCTATACTCTCATTCTTATTTTACTGGGAACAAACTCTTTTTGCGTCACGAACGGATCTGCGACTGTCCACGTGATGCATCCCTCCCAGACTGGGGGGGACGTAACAAAACAAATTGGAATTGGAAATAAAACTTCCTACATATGCGCGAAAAAAATGCTTGGTAACTACCACCTTTACGTACCTCCGAATTATTTGAATTTGAGTGTAAAGACAGAACAACAGAAGCAAAGTATGATTGTCATACTTGAAATGTATTTGCTTTTAAAGCGAAGTTTTAATATCTTCCAAATTAATTAAATCGAGCACAGCTATAGAACGGCGAATCTAAGAAAATTGAACCGAACATTTTTTTTCGCCTAATTTCTACCACGTTACCTTGGAACCGTCAATACGCATAAACGTATGTTCATGTAAATAAATAAATGGCTCCGCCAAACATGTCATATTCGGTTTGTTTGCCAAGACTATTTTTAATATCGTCTAATATTGTAATGATCAATCACTGGAAATTGATCATAAGTTGTAGAGTTCCGTTAATACTTCAATTGTGAATTTTGAAATCGTTATTTTTAATAGATTTTATATTACATTTACTTCAATTTGCACATTGTAAGTATTTACCGCTGTAGTTTGAGACATCTTAGAAATAAATTGCTCTTCTCCTTGGTTTCATTTTGCGCGTTATGAACGGTAATGAATTTTGAAATCGTTACTTTTAATAAATTTCATATTACATTTACTTCGATTTGCACATTTTAAGTATTTACCGCTGTAGTTTGAGACATCTTAGAAATAAATTGCTCTTCTCCTTGTTTCATTTTGCGCGTTATGAACGGTAATGAATTTTGAAATCGTTACTTTTAATAAATTTCATATTACATTTACTTCGATTTGCACATTTTAAGTTTTTACCGCTGTAGTTTGAGACATCTTAGAAATAAATTCTTTTTCTCCTTGGTTTCATTTTGCGCATTATGGACGGTAATGAACTTTGAAATCGTTACTTTTAATAGATTTCATATTACATTTACTTCAATTTGCACATTTTAAGTTTTTACCGCTGTAGTTTGAGACATCTTAGAAATAAATTGCTCTTCTCCTCGGTTTTATTTTGCGCATTATGGACGATCTTAGAAATAAATTCTTCTTCTCCTTGGTTTTATTTTGCGCGTTATGGACGGTAATGAACTTTGAAATCGTTACTTTTAATAGATTTCATATTACATTTACTTCAATTTGCACATTGTAAGTATTTACCGCTGTAGTTTGAGACATCTTAGAAATAAATTGCTCTTCTCCTTGGTTTCATTTTGCGCGTTATGAACGGTAATGAATTTTGAAATCGTTACTTTTAATAAATTTCATATTACATTTACTTCGATTTGCACATTTTAAGTATTTACCGCTATAATTTGAGACATCTTAGAAATAAATTCTTCTCCTTGGTTTTATTTTCCGTGTTATGGACGGTAATGAATTTCGGGTTATTGACGGTAACCACGTAATGTTGTTCATTCTTTTTTTTTTCAATTAACTTTATTAAGCGGCAATCAGCTAACATTCGCCTCGGAATTGTACGAGCCCGGATTCTACGAAACAATATATGACTTGTTACCCAACAAATCCGGCACAGCTGCAGTTGCAAGGAAAGGCACCCGTACAGCGAATGCCATTTAACAAACTGTTACACTTAACCACAGGTTGGGTATTATGTTATTCCGCCTAGGTAAGCAGGCGATTACGGAGAAACCAAGATACTCGTCTCGAAACAAAAAACAGTATGATACCCCCACAGATGGGTTCCCACTGTACAAGAATTTGTAACTGCCTCTGGGAATCGATTTATTTGACGCAGTGCTATGTAGGTAACAAAGGGCAATGGAATTTATGACCCATTTGCAATTGTTATATTATCAAATACAGTTATTAATTGCTAGTTGCAATATGCTCATTTTCATAATTTTTATTAAATTCTTGTATATACAATACTTCAGTTCTTTAGTTCTCTTTTAATTTTGTTTAGTGGAGGAAACAATAAACTGAATGATTTATTTAATACAACTGTAAAAGCAGTTATAATTCTTGTACGGTGAGAAAAGTATTATTGTTGCACTGAGAGCATTTAAGTATACGGGACAGTGATTTAATTTAAATTTCATTCAGTCACAATTGTACTTTAATGGTAGTTTAAAGTACAATCCGTACAATTATTCTGTTTTAACAACACATTTCATAAACAAATTGACTTAAATGCTCTAAATACCTGTTACGTAAAGTGAAAGGTTATATGTTTAATTTATCAAATATATGATTAATGTTTTTACGAATACTGGATTATATTTTAGTATTATTAAAGTGTCCAAATCTATACTCGATTGAAGATGACAAGTACACATAGGAAATATATTCAATCACTTTAATTCGTATGTGAATCTAATATATTTATTCGTTTCCTTTAAATCGTGGAAAACAACTATACTACTTAATGTACGACTATTTCAACACTTTGAAGCAGTATTTAAAATCTGCCTTATGATTTTGTATTTTAGATAACCCACGCAATGTAATTAATTTAAATGACGTTAAGTAGTAATGGTATCCCCACGACACGTCATAAAATCTTTGTAATTAATAAACATAAATATTTCCGTCCCCCTCTTCGGCAGTATTACACAAACTTTCTAATGTCACCAGGGTCGAGAGTCGAGGCTTATATCTTATCATTCTGACAGAATAAACATTAGATTTCCTATTTCAAATCACGTAGAGTCTAGGGAAAGCTATTTTGTTAAAGCTGATTCCATCGTAAAAATTACATAACAACATTAAATGCGGATAATTAAAGTATCCATTAAATCACACAACACTAAACACACTACAGTAAAACAAAACTATAAAATGTTTGTCTTTTGATTCATCCAATGTTTTTCGTTAAAATCTTAACTAATTTTGTTCTACATCTTGAATCGAGTGTTAATTTGCACCTATACAATATTTAGTCGGATAACTGTCCTTACCAAAGAACATGTAGACATACCATGAAATGCATAAAGTATCATGGTTAATTTCAGGACAGAATAAACATTAGATTTCCTATTTCAAATCACGTAGAGTCTAGGGAAAGCTATTTTGTTAAAGCTGATTCCATCGTAAAAATTACATAACAACATTAAATGCGGATAATTAAAGTATCCATTAAATCACACAACACTAAACACACTACAGTAAAACAAAACTATAAAATGTTTGTCTTTTGATTCATCCAAAGTTTGTCGTTAAAATCTTAACTAATTTTGTTCTGCTTCTTGAATCGAGTGTCAATTTGCACCTATACAATATTTAGCCGGATAATTGTCCCTACCAAAGAACATGTAGACATACCATGAAATGCATGAAGTATCGTGGTTAATTTCAGGACGTAAATCCGCAATCGTAAAACCTCTGCATCTTGAATCGAGTGTTAATTTTCACCTATACAATATTTAGCCGGATAATTGTCCCTACCAAAGAACATGTCATGAAATGCATGAAGTATCGTGGTTAATTTCAGGACGTAAATCCGGAATCGGAAAATCAAGTCCAGGAAGCTGCAGCGGAATCGCAGAACAACGAAGTTAGGGTGCAGTTCACCGACGACCAAGAGGGTGCGGCAGCAAATGATAACGCGGCGCCAGATTTGCCACCATTGGACGATATTGACATCGTTGATGAGAATCGCAACAAGAGGTTCCTCAACTTCGGTCTTTCGGGGGCCACGGGGGCACAGGCTGCCGGGGGAAGTGGTGGATCTGGGAACTTCCTCTTCGATATTATCAGGGTGAGTTCGAGTTTCTGGAAACAGTCCGGAAGCTCTGTCTTTCGGGATGGTTTCTTTTTCGAATTTCAGGGCAGAATCTCAAGGAGCAGTCCAGAAGTGAAGTAAGGACTCCCAAATCGTTGACTTCGGACCTTTTTCGCAATCCTGAAATGAGATAATATCCTACCTTCATAGACCCCTAACCTTCGAATCCCTGTAAATAGGAACTCTGCAATGATAGAGTAAATGTACTTCCTTGAATGTCGATGATGTTGAAAAGGATTGAATGCATAATTACTTTTTTCAACGGTCCGAACGACTGCAGGCAGTTTATTGAAAGGTCTTTCCTGAATCTGGTTCTTAATTATTCTGATTTGATTTTAAGCCAATAGAAAGAGTCTCTAGTAGGGTTTGTTTTAAATGAAATCTGATCTCAGATCTTTTCTATAAAGGAAAGGATAAATTCATTGTGCAAGCTTTAGTTGGTTCGGGGTGGTCGATCATCTGTTCGAAATCGTGTTCCTGTTTCTCTTGGCGGAGGAAGGACATTGATCTTGAATCTCTTACAAACGGGACAGAATCTTATAGTTAGAGAGTTCTTTCTCAAACGTTGACGATTCTACGAAAACATTTCAGTGAGTTGCTGTATCTAAAAAATTACATTTTTGTTTAATATTCTCGCAAAGGAGTTTAGTTAGATTATTTTTATTTTATTTTGAATACGTGTAATGAATATTAATAACAATACTTATGAAGACTTTAATCCCGAAATACCCTCGAAAGAGTTTCTCGGTCAAACTTTTAAAAAAATTGATAATATGTTTCTTTCTAAAATTTTTTTAAGTATTGGTTTGATATGTTAAATTGATGTTTCGATGGGAACGTACTGAAAGTATTAATTTAAGAAAGGTGTAGTCAAATTAAAATTGAGAGTCGTGAAGTAAAAAATGTCAGGAAAAAAAAAGAAAATTAAACGTTTTTCAAAGAATCTTGCGATCGAATCTGTGTCCGCGCCAGGAAAGAAAATCTCAGACTGTTCTCTTGATAAGTCGTTCCCAGCACGGTTGGAATTTTATAGCGCGGATTTCATGGAAATACCAAATTTTCGTTTTCTCCACGCTTGCGTCGTTTCTCAAAAAAAAAGAAAATCGCCTGTTACGTCCGAAGTACGTTTCTCTTTACGAACCTCTCCGGTAATTTTGATATTTACGGAGAAACTTCACGAAGGGTCCCCTTAGGCATGCCGAATCGATTCTAGCTATCGATCGAGAAATCAATAAGTCTAACGAGCCGTCGTGTGCCGCTCGATCGGCAGAGTAAGAGGCCGACGCGTAGACCGCAAGCGCACCTGGCGTGGACGGTGAAAGTCAACTTAGAATCGGCGCACATGCTCAAAGCTGTCTCATGATTGCTTATTCGAAGGTATCCGACCTCCGATCGCCGAAACTTCGCGGTTAATTACGACTATGGGGATGCTACTCACGCCAAGCCGACGTCGCGTCTACTTGGACCTCGCCACGTCGCCAACATGGCCGCCAAGAGAAGCGTCATCCGGTTGCTAGGTAACGAGCGCCGTCAGCCAATCGGACGACGCGATCGAGAAGTGGCTAAACTTGAAATGCACCTGTACTTCAGAAGTGTGTACTAAGAATTGTAGCCAATAGATGGATGAATACAATAAGACTTTTATATTAAACTTTCCTTTATGATGTTAAAGAGATGAATAAACGAAGATTGTTAGAAAAACATGCAGATTCAAAATACAGTCAAAACGTAACATTCGAGTCACGTAACGAATTATCATTGCATCTATTAACTTCACTCGTTCGCTTTCATTGAAGAAAATGGAGGGGTAAGACGGACAGGAAATATAACTCCGGTTAGTACTGATCTTACGGATAAAGATAAATAATACTCCCCGGGGAATTATTTAGAGAAACTGAATTCGTCTCTTCAAATTTTATGTTTAGTTAATAAAAAAGCGAATTCGACCATTCTTAGATGATCAGATGAATCAAAGTTTCGGACAGTTTGGTCTAATACCCTTAAAAAAAAGTGTTGTATTCGAATCGACTGATTTGAAGGGGGTTTCACTTCACCGTAAATGCCGTAGGATTCGACTGACCCGAGTTTAGAACGGTGGAACGAGTTTTTGCCGTCTCTGGACTAGACGTTCTCGCCGTCTGCCCGCCTTTATGACAGTCAGCCGTCTCCTGGTGTCGTTCGCTAAAGAAACAGTACGCGATTATCAAATCCCCAGTCGAAGGTGCGATACCTCGAAGCGATTACCGAGCGGGAGCTTGCAATTTACATTAACCACTTAGCAACTGCCGAGTTTACACGTTTGACCCGTTTCTTGCATTCCTTGTCGAGTTCCCCGTTATTCGCTTCAATTTGCACGCTGCTGATAACAGCGGGAAATTCGCTTTGGGCTCCAATCACCGCGAATATAATTTTTAAAGCGTAATTTAAAAAAAATTATAGGATACCCGTAACCGAATGAGAAACGAAGAATTAAAGAATATCGTTGGTCCGGCAACACGTCACGGTGTGAAAACGAAAAATTGTAAGCATGATAAATCTATCGGTGGTTTTTATTGTTTTGTAAAAAAAATGGGGTGGAGTTTTATCGGATACTCGTAACCGAATGAGAAACGAAGAATTAAAAAATATCAATGGTCCGGCAACGCGTTACGGTGCAAAAACAAAAAATTGTAAGCATGATAAATCTATCGGTGGTTTTTATTGTTTTGTAAAAAAATGGGGTTGGAATTTTATCGGATACTCATAAGCAAATGAGAAACGAAGAATTAAAAAATATCGTTGGTCCGCCAACACGTCACGGTGTGAAGACGAAAAATTGCAAGCATGATAAATCTATCGGTGGTTATTTTTGTTCTGTAAAAAATGGGGTTGGAATTTTATCGGATACTCATAAGCAAATGAGAAACGAAGAATTAAAAAATATCAATGGTCCGGCAACGCGTTACAGTGCAAAAACAAAAAATTGTAAGCGTGATAAATCTATCGGTGGTTTTTATTGTCTTGTAAAAAAAATGGGGTGGAGTTTTATCGGATACTCGTAACCGAATGAGAAACGAAGAATTAAAAAATATCAATTGTCCGGCAACACGTCACGGTGCAAAAACGAAAAATTGTAATCATAATAAATCTATCGATGGTTTTTATTGTTTTGTAAAAAAAATGGGGTGGAGTTTTATCGGATACTCGTAACCGAATGAGAAACGAAGAATTAAAAAATATCGTTGGTCCGGCAACACGTCACATAAATACACAGTGTCTAATAATACATAGTAAGTAAATACAAAGGAAAGTTCGAAGCCGAAAAAAGTTAAAACGCTAGTTACTTCTCAATTACACAATAAGGCCGCAACATGGTCGAGCTTGTATAAAATATAAATAACATTTATACCTTGCACAGTTCGAACATTCCATGAAAAAATGAAAAGGGAGAGAATGAACGATACGCTTCTTGGATAATAGAATGTTTCAATGATAAAACGTCCAAATAATTAAACATTCGGATAACGAGAATTCTCATTTTTACCATACGATAGAAATTCTGGCATTACAATGGTTAATGTAACCAGAATTCTGCGGCATTTTTTATTACGCTTGTGGAAATTTATACGTGGTAATCCTTAAAACTACTTTCCGAAGATTAAATTCATTTGTTGCTCAACGGATTTATCGTTAAACGGCAGGAGGTTAGTTGCGTTAACCTAATTGCATCCTCTCCTTAATTTTACTCGGACCGTTTCAACCGGCTTCTTCGGTCTTTGTCGTTCCACACGGAAGGAAATTTATCGCTACATTACCGATAATGGACCACCACGGTGCCTTGAAATCAGCCGTGTGCAACTGATTTCGCTAAATTTGCTGTGCAATTGTTACGAAATGTTACCATTGCTGATATTACAAGAAATTACTTTAGTGGTTAGAAACGAAACCTAGAGCAGTTAGGGTTAATGTTCTGTAAAGTTATGTTGCATATAGCTCTTTGAAGATTGATAATACCGTGTTTGTCCCGTGTTGATCGGGATAAATTAATAACATCCGAAAATTAGTATATCCGTGCCAACAAACCAGTTATACATTCTATATCGTGACTGCAGAAGCAATGGCGCTACAAAGTGACTTACGATAAGCTAAACAATAACCGACTTTTATAATATATTAGAACGACAAACTCGGTAACCTACAACATCTGCAAATGAATAAAAGTTGTTACATCGATATGAAAGTAGATAGCATGAAACATGACGTGTCAAGTCATCGGAAGATCTTCGTCTAGGACTTTTCGCAACATAGTATTCATCTACGTTCAGTCCACTTCAAAAGTCACTTCTCGTCTGCCCTCTCGTTAACTGCATTAGCATCCTCTGCGAGGCGCCACTTCGCCTCTCGTACAATTCTCATAACGTCGAATTTCTATTCAAGACATTATTTAATGTAATCAAACATTTTACATCGAATACTTATGCGTTCATTCCTTGACTCATCTACGTTCACCGAAATGCGTTCTATCAAGCAGATCTCTATCGACCATCATCGAGTCCCCAACCACTCTCGATATCACGTCCAGAATGACCAGAATTCCATATTAGGCATAGGAAAACATGAAACCAATTACATGCCATAAGATAATCTATATCCACCTTTCTCCTCTTTACAGTTAATGAAATTACATCGAAGATCACCCTCTACCATCTAACACATCCCCGCATCCTCACATGTCCCTAGCGATCTCGCTTCGTCGTCCACCCACCACCACCACTCCCGATATCAGGTTCAGAATGACCAGAATACCATAATAGGCATAGGGAAACATGAAACCAATTACCTGAACCATGAACCAGTTAATGCAATTACATCGAAGATCACCCTCTACCATCTAACACATCCCCGCATCCTCACATATCCCAAACGATCTCGCTTCGTCGTCCACCCACCACCACCACTCCCGATATCACATCCAGAATGACCAGAAAACCATAATAAGCATAGGGAAACATGAAACCAATGACATGCCATAAGGTAATGTATATCCACTTTTCTCCTCTTTACAGTTAATGCAATTACATCGAAGATCACCCTCTACCATCTAACCTAACACATCCTCACATGTCCCAAGCGATCTCGCTTCGTCGTCCACCCACCACCGATCCCCCTTTCGGCTCCAAGCGGCTGCGGTCCAGTTAACCAAACTTTTCCAGCAAGCCGGAATTCGAAGGTTTGCAGCAGCGAGGTCGCAGTCGCAGTCGCAGTCGCAGCCCCCAGGCCAGCGCACCTCTCAAGCCCCGGGAGCGATGCCCGGTACCCACGCGGCCCCGAATCGAGGAGCGTTGAATAAAGAGAGAAACTCGTGTGTGTTCCCTAGCAAGCAGCCGACGGGGCGGCAAGAGCGGCGGGCACGGTGTACCGAGTCGTAGCCGGTACCCAGAGCCTGGGCCTGGGGCTTAGCGCCTCCCGCGAAGTGGGCCCCGCGCCCGCGTCCGCTCCCGCTGCCGCCCCTGCCGCGCCTGCTGCCGCCGCCGCGCCCGGTGCCCCAGCTGCCGCCCCCGCCCCAGCCGCCCCTGCGCCCGGAGGCGCCCCACAGCCACCGGTACGCCAACCCCGCAGCCTTCCGGCCGTCGCCGTCGCCCCGCCGCGGACGACCGACGCGAACGCCGCGGCCGGACCGTCCCGAGTCGAGGCTCGGCTTTCTTTACCTTCTTTACCGACACACCGGACTTACCATTAGAGAGTACGGCCCGAGCTGACTCTTGCGGTGGCTCGCTCACCGTTGCGTTTCCATTGGGACTTTGATCTTGGACTCGGATTTTCGATGACGCCGCTTTTAACACTTTGACTGGTAACTGCTCCAAGTTGGGCGGTATGCGGCCCGCAATAACGATCGCTGGGGACTGAATACTTTTTCGCCGAGCGCGCATTTGCGTCCATAGTGTACACCGATGGCTTGCGCTGGACGCACATTTGCGTCCATAGTCTACACCGATGGTTCTTGCTGGACGCACATATGCGCCCACGGGCCATACCGGTGGGTTTTGCTGGACGCATATATGCGCCCCTAGGCCACACTGATGGTTTGTGCTGGACGCATATATGCGCCCATAGGCCACACCGATGGTTTGTGCTGAACGCATATATACACCCATAGGCCACACCAATGGTTTTTGTTGGACGCATATATGCGCCCCTAGGCCACACTGATGGTTTTTGCTGGACGCACATATGCGCCCACAAGCCACACCGATGGTTTTTGCTGGACACACATATGCGCCCATTGTTTTATTTTTAACATTTCGCGTCACATATTCTATAAAACATTCTTATATGGTATATGACTTTAAATAAAGTCCCTGAAATTGTTGTTTCACGATTCGGCATGTCGTGAATGTGCACAAAAACAGGCGTTTTTAACAGATTTCTGTGATGCTAATTAGATCACTGATTACTAGGTTAACGCTAAGATTGCTAGGCACGATAATGTACATTATATGTATACATATCTACGTGTAAGAGCATTCATATACGATCAAGAGACCGGAATTAAAGTCCGATGGAAACGTAACTAAACTTCTCTACGTTGGGAATACTTTCAAATGATATTTTTTCTATTAAAAAGTTTACAATATTTATATTGAGAACACCAGCGTATCCTTTATTGGATCATTGCCTTAATAATTGATTTTGATCTTCATTGTTCATAGACCAACTACGAGAAGTATGCGATACTCCGTTGAGAGGACCGTCAAAAACGGACGTACACAACTGCACTGCATCTTCTATTTTCTGTACTTGCACCTGCAAGAACGTCTTTTCTTCAATCTGCTTACTAATCGTAATGGGCTAATGCATGCTACGCTTGTTGGGTATTTGAAATTCTAGATCATCCGGTAATAAAGCTGTAATGTACTTTAAAAACAAACTATATTTTGATGGGCAAACATTCTATCATTAAATGCGCATGTATCCAAAATTATAGTGCAATTTATTGAATTTTCACCAGACGCACCGTACTGGTGAATGGTATCATTTAGATATTTTTATTCTAGTAGTATATAAATAACTTGAATCATTGACAAATCATTTGGGACTAGGCGCATACTTAGCCTTGAGTAATCCCTTCTATTAATGTAGATACCACTTGGAAAATTATTTTATTCCGATTTATTTCGACGTGCACATTTGGACAATCATTCTTAATTATTATAATTTCTTATCTAAAAATCGCCCTTGACAATAAATTCAAGTAGGTAACTACGCGACCTTGCTGTACCAATTAAATTCCAATTTATTTTCCATGAATTTTTATAACTATATTTTCAAGAAAAGGAACTATTTCAAATGTCAAATTTGCATCTTTATCATTCTACTTGAAAGTCTCATAAGAATATTCAAAATTCAAAGCAATTGTTCTGAACTTCGTAGTAAAGTAATGTCGCCCAATCAATTTTTCGTGACTTGCTCTAATACACTAAAATTGACTATTTATTGCTAAACAAAAGTCTACTATTTACTACTGAATCAGCTCACCAATCTGAATTGATTCATGGGTACTTCTGCAGATTTTGCTACTGAAATCTATCCTACTCAAATATTTACTAAGATCTCTTTTTAACCTTTATCCACTATCCTCTCCTCTACGCGCATTGCAACTTTTTTCTTTCTTTCCTTTCTTACGCGCAAAGCTCTATTTTGAATCTGCCTCTTTCTCCACTCTCTTTTAAATACTCTTGCATGGATTGCACATCAAGATTTCCAGATTTTCTGACAATTTAAGAAAAATTCAGTTATCTTCCTCTGCAACGTAATTCCTCCCCTCTGTTACAGAGGTTAGTCTCTATTATTTCCAAGAAATTAATTAATACAAACTGAAGCTATCGCTATTTATTTGGCTGTGTGTTTATGTCTTGGAAGAGGCTCTACGAATCTGAATTCTTGATTAAAAAGAAATACATGGCACGGAAAAAATTTTCTTCTAATAATTATAAGTCGAAAGTTCTAATAACATTAGAGAAATTCGTGTTATATCCAAGTTTTTTTGAAAACCATGAATTAAAGCTGTCACAGTCAAAACTTAAACAAAAAAACAATGTAAGTAAAACTACTTCATATGTTTTTAAGGCTGCGCAATATATATTATCTGAGAAGCTCTATTTAAAGAAAAAAAAACTTAGAAGCGTGTAGGTAATGAGTTAAAATGACAACATGTCAGTAATTGCTTAGTACTCTATAACCGGGTAATTAATATCCATTGTTTCCGTTCAAAAGTCAAAATGAAAAGACTTTTGTTTCTTTATCAATGATACGCTGTGATCTGTGTCCTCTTTTTGAAGCATACGTTTATAATAAAATTGAGTTCATGCATTCAATTCTGAATAATTTCGACATCTTTTGACGTAAAAACAGAAAAGAAACTAATCGCCACTTACATTCATACGTTGCATAGTACTCGCTTTCTAATTCTCATTGAAAATCTTAACGTTTTATATAAAGGTATAGATACTGAGTGCATGAAACAATGAAGTCATAGTTTTTATACGACTATTTTACGTTCTCGAATTACTATGCACTACAAACCAAAGCATCTCAGATAAGTATATTTCAATTGTGCTCAACGGGTGACTTCTTTGCTCTAAACAATTCAGGCGTCCAGCAATTGTGAATATGAAATAAAAAAATTATCATTAATTTTTATTTCGTATTCCATGAGCTCAAAAGTGACTGCGGCATGATACGTAACTTGAATAATGGAATTTCAGTGGTACACGTTCATGGAACATTTTTTCCGTGCATTTAGCAGTGGACTTGTATAAATTTCCACAACTTTTCGTTGAACAACTCAGAGGTCTAACGAGATCTTGATATGCGATGTTGAGTGGTGCATTCTTAGCATCGAAAATTTTCCTATTCCGCCCGCTGATTTCCCCTCCACAACAGTACGTCTCTTCCATGTTCAAACCCGATCATTAATCGGAAATTTCCTTTCTTTTCCACATTTCTATCCAATCGTTCCACCCGGCCAACGGTCCCGACGCGACACCGACATCCGACTTGATACATTCGACGAGCCGATCAACAGACATCTCGACAATAATTATGAAACAATAATTAGAAACGGTAGTGAGACCTCGGAAATGTCCGCTTTGGTAGAAACTTCTCTGCGATATGATTTTCTCTTCATTCATGCTTGCCGCCTCTTCGATGCATACGGAGAAAGAACCCTCTCGAAAAAGACATTTCCTTAAAACGAGAAAGTTTTAGAGAACAAGGAAGGAAGAACAAACATTATGGCAATTCATTGATTGTGGGAGATCATATACACGTGCAGTAATTTTATCCCAATACTGTGAAATATGTCTTATAATTAAAGGGACTGATTTTATAAAGCTCAATTAAGGGGACGTTAGCAAAAGTAACATGTATGTGAGAGCATTCGTAAATGTTGCTTTTAATTAAAAACCGAATTTTTTAATCGAATATATATGTATATGGATTTTGTACAAAAACCATTGTACACAATTTCAGAGTTTTTTTTATAATAGTTTGGGATGTTTAGCAAATTCGGTCGAATTGCCCTTCCTTCCGTTTAACAAGGAGACGTAGCAATTATTAATAACCGAGTAATTATTTTCTGGTACGTCTTTTCTCCGTGCATTGTTGGGTTCATAATGGAGCTATCGAATTTACTAAAATGGGGCAATTGTTGCTGTAATTCATGCTTTGCCAGGTTCCATAAAACTTCAAACTCATCGACCTGAGATTTACGAGGTCTCACTATGCTGCTTTTTGGTTGTTGCATTGCAATTGCAATGGAAATATGGATCTCTAATTGATTATTACAGTCGTTCGTAATGCATCGCCATGTACAATTGTTGACAATTAAAACTTGTCAGACACCGTATCACTTCAAATATATAAATGGGTTTCTGACCAAAGAGTATGAAACACTTAAATTTGTATTGTTCTACGTAGCTGCAACAAAATGGCGATTCACGAAACATGCTTTTTCCCTGAATATTGATTGTACTGTGATGCCGTTAATAATTGCGGTTCTTGCTTTAATATGTTGGCATTGTAATGGTACATACACGGATTTTATCCAATGAAAAAAGCTCCAAATGATCAGACAAGGCTCGTCGAATTAAACCGAAATGCTTGTCCACCTCCGACAGTAATGATGGCATAGCAAGAATACAAACTACAATGTACGAACTGCGACGTCGAATTTGGCAAATTTTCAATAATTTCATTGTCTTGTAAAAAATAACTATCAAACCTTATCTACCACGGGATAATTCACTTAGATTCGGTGTTACGTTTCATCGTTAATTCATAAATCTGGAAAAAAAAAACTGTCATTCGATCGCCACTCTTTTAGTAGGAAATTATCTAATCTAATATAACAAATATTAATATCTGTGGTCAGTTTAAAAGTCAAAGTATCCATTCCAAAGTTTCCGATATTTCTATAAAGAGAGGTGGTACCGTTACAAATAATACGTGCATTCTCTAATTACGTGTCAGATAAAACCTTGTAGAGCGTCCGGAACCACTGTAAGCATCTGTTTGATACTAAAAATTGGTTACCAAAGAGAATAATAGTCTTCAGATATTCTAATTAACCGCCTATTAAATTTCATAACGATGAACACAGAACGAATTCCGACGGAAGAAATTTCAGGATTTATCTACGCTCATCCTTGCCGCAATACCTAAACCGCAATGGCATGCAACGCTTTCGCGCAGTCGAGAATGACTAAAATCAAAGTGCACGACGTAAATCGGGATGTTTGAAAGTCTGTCAAATGGACGTCGGGGGTCGTACATTGATTCATCAGCGAGGGCGATTCTCGTCTAAGACTAACTTACGGAAGTACAAACTTACGGCACTAGGAAGCGAACTCTCATCCACGCACTCGACCACTTGTACTTAGAGACACGAAGAGAGCCGAAAGCACACGCACTCGTAGGCAGAGAACGGTTCGTTGATGCAACGTAAAAAGGTCCTGGGGAAGATCTTTACCGGGATGATTGTTGGATGGATTGGATCGAGGAGCGCGTAATGGATTAGTCACAGGATCGGCGGATTTAGCCAGAGGAGTATTTAGCCGGCTCGATGGATTAGCACCCACAGTTAGCAGTAGTGTCGGGAGCGCTGGAGCTGGACGTGGAGCTGCAACTCCCAGTAAATCCCGAATATTCCTGGCCTTGAAACTACACCCAGCCGACCTCGATCCCCCGAAACTAATGGCAGGCTAACGCTGTTCTTGCAGCTTGTGGCCGGAAGTGGCAGCACGGAGCAGGCGGATGCGGCGAACGCGGCGGCGCCCGGAAGAGCCGACGGCACGCAGGAGGCGGTGCCAGGACCGATCACCAGGCTCTTCGTCATAGCCAACCGTGGCATCTCCAATCTCGTCCAGGACCTCATTCTCGTGAGTTCATTTCGATTCATGTACTTTTTTTTTATATATAACGTATCGATCAGGATCGATCACCAGGCTCTTCGGCATAGCCAACCGTGGCATCTCCAATCTCGTCCAGGACCTCATTCTCGTGAGTTCATTTCGATTCATGTACTTTTTTTTTATATATAACGTGTCGATCAGGATCGATCACCAGGCTCTTCGGCATAGCCAACCGTGGCATCTCCAATCTCGTCCAGGACCTCATTCTCATGAGTTCATATCGATTCATATACTTTTTTTTATATATAACGTATCGATCAGGATCGATCACCAGGCTCTTCGGCATAGCCAACCGTGGCATCTCCAATCTCGTCCAGAACCTCATTCTCGTGAGTTCATTTCGATTCATGTACTTTTTTTTTTTATATATATAACGTATCGATCAGGATCGATCACCAGGCTCTTCGGCATAGCCAACCGTGGCATCTCCAATCTCGTCCAGGACCTCATTCTCGTGAGTTCAATCCGATTCATGTACTATTTTTATATATAACGTGTCGATCAGTACCGATCGCCAGGCTCTTCGTCATAGCCAACCGTGGCATCTCCAATCTCGTCCAGGACCTCATTCTCGTGAGTTCATTTCGATTCATGTACTATTTTTATATATAACGTGTCGATCAGTACCGATCGCCAGGCTCTTCGTCATAGCCAATCGTGGCATCTCCAATCTCGTCCAGGACCTCATTCTCGTGAGTTCATTACGATTTACGTACTTTTTTTTTATATATAACGTGTCAAACAGGACCGATCACCAGGCTCTACGTCATAGCCAACCGTGGCCAAAAACTTTGTGAAATGTACCTTTAGAAATGCGAGGGACAGTTCCGAAGAGATTTGCTTCCCGGAGTGCTCATTTCTCCGAATAGGAACTTTTCAACGGCACGATCGGGAAAAATGCCACGTAGGACAGCGTTTTTAGAGAATCAGGCTTCACAGATGATTAAACAACACGACTCAATCGTATCGAGAAGAATTTTCTTTCTCTTATTTGATTGCGCGTTTGTACAATGGCGGACATGAATGCCTCCCCTGCAGGTACGACATCGCCTGTGCAGGATGGGAGGGCATTGATGTCTCCCAGTGTACAATGTGAACATGAATGCCTACCCTACAGGTACGACATCGCCTGTGCAGGATGGGAGGGCATTGATGTCTCCCAGTGTATACGTTACATATCATTACGAATCATTTGGATAACGCTTACCCAATGTGCCCTTTCCAGCCATTTAGCGATCAAATGAGAAATACGTAATTCAGTTCGTCGTTGAAATTAATCCCGACGTTTTGCGATCAAAGTGCACAATTCTTTTTTTATTTCCTAGTTTAATTGCGACAACTACCTGCCTTTCTCTTTCCAGCTTTGGCACATAAAACGGGTTTAGTAAGTAAAATTCAGTATGAATAATTTCATGATTACCGGTTGATAAAGAACATTCCACATGTTTACATCTCGCGGCAAACGAAGATCGAAGTAAATTGTTTAGATGTTCAGAAATTGAAAAATGCTAAAAATCAATAATAAAATCGCATAACAACTAGGAAACATTGAGGGTTATAAGCTGCTTAAAAATGCAATTAAAAATCTTCCAAATGTTCAATCATTTACTTGTGCCCGTAATCACCGACATGTAGACCATGCTCAAACTGTTGTTTTAACTTAATAAGCTGTTAACTTTAACCATCCGTTGCCAAGGCACAGAAAAAATATAATTGTTCCCACTTTTGGAGTATTATACACTTATTTACCCTATATACAATTCCGGAAATTGTATTAATTCAAAACACAACCACTTACAAATAAAACCTAACACCTGAAAATTTCGATACTCCTCATAATAACAAAAAAACGGTTTTCCACCATCTCGGCTTCTTAACGGATAGAGAAAATTGATTAAGTACAGTACTTATACCACGTATCCACTAAGCCAATATATCCATTGACATTTCAGTTCTTTTATTCATTTCATTTTATCATTCTTTTCATTTTATCATGTTCATTTTAATCAACTTAATGAATATTGACGATTTATGGAGCCTCATTTTCATTAAGTTGATCAAGACAATTGGTTCATTAAGATTGGACCCTGATTACGGAAAATTTCGAGGCAATCGAGCATCTTCGGAGAGACGGTTATTCGGTGTTCCAGATATAACGAAGAATTATGTAATGGCCTTTGAATCTCGATGGAAAGCAAAAATACTACACTACTTTCTCTACGAAATAGCTCCTCCGTTTGCCGGCTGACTTATGCAAGCGCTGCGACCGTCCGCTCCTGGCACGCGAGTCCAGCCAAGAGGCACGAGGGGTAATCGGGTCGTTCTACTGACAATTTGAGACGGATCACTTTTCCACTTCTATATTGATCATTTCGCCTTTGCATTGAACATTGAGCATATAGAAATGAAAAGAATAATGGTATATAGGTATGTTAAGGTGAAGTGAAACCCTCCTCAAATCAATCGATTCGAATACAACACTTTTTTTAAGGGTATTGGACCAAACTGTTCGAAACTTTGACACTTAGCTCGTGATCATCTAAGAATTGTCCTGGCACATTCGAAAATTGGATTTTTCCAAAAAAATGTCTAACTTACGATAAAATACTACGATGCAATTCTATAAGCTCTAGGGAATTAAAATCTACTAATGAAACTTTGGAAGAACAAATGATAGAAATCGTATTGTTAATAAAGCAGGAAGGACATCCGTTATTGATCCGCCATGATAAGTAGATTGGAAAGGAGGACTTGCTCTAATAAGAAATCTTTATTCACTTTCGCGATTGAATCCCTTGACGGATTCCTTGACGTAGAACCGACCAAAATATTTCTGCATTTAATTTCCGAATATATCAGAACTTTCTCCTTCAAAGTAAAGCAGGTACAGTGGTACACTGGGAGACATCAATGCCCTCCCATCCTGCACAGGCGATGCCGTATCTGCAGGGGAGGCATTTATGTCCGCCATTGTACACTGGGAGACATCAATGCCCTCCCATCCTGCACAGGCGATGCCGTATCTGCAGGGGAGGCATTCATGTCCGCCGTTGTACCATCCGGTTAACGTAAATCACTTCCATACGCTCGGTAATAATTATGCGGTCACGCATTTGGTCATCTAGAACCAAATTGTGATCCAACTTTCGAAATCGTCACGGTTGCATGAATCGATTCGAATCCTAGCCTCGCAATTAGACAAGAACGATAAAGTTAATAAGAAAGATGCCGATACTGATTTGCTTCTACAGGATAAAAAGCTTCCGCTCGCGTATCCTTTTGCAATATTACATAGTGACTCATGGTTTGCCTGACGAAATTTTACAAGTGTCTAAAATTTCGTCAGGCAAATTCTCTGCTCATGGTCAATCTCTGAATCACGTGAAGTAAGGAAATTAAAAACTTCATTTGCGGTAATACTTATTCTCTAGGTCAATATCGAGATCGTTCGGTATGGTCAATTCTTCGTTCAATAAGCCCCCAACACCCATTATTCTTTCGATTCAATCAATATATTCAATTTTAACCCCAGCGCCCTGAAGGTTCACTATTTATTAATATCCTCTTGTCAAATGACTTAACAGATAAGGATCTTGCGAAAAATATACTCCGTTCAAACAGAACATCTAAAACCGATAATTAATTATACATATCCAGCTGTATCAATAATGGAAAAATTAACTAATTAAGGAACGTATTGGTTTTCCAGCGCCTCGCAGCCACCAGCGAACGCATCGTCAACTTCAAGGCGCGTCTGATCACTTCCATCATCTAGGAAAATTGGTCTCGAAGAAGTTCTGGGAGGCCAGAGAATGAAGCCGGGGTTCCCTGAGGATCAGCTACTTTTTCCGTATCTGGACCACGGGTACGACGTCGACGGCCCTGGGTAAACCTCTCGGCCGCACCTTGTCCCCGGGATCCACGCAGAAGATCGTTCCGGAAGAGCCTCAACCGAGATGACCGAGCTTCACCGCGGACTCCTTTATCGTAGGACATTCACCTCTGTAGCTGCCTCTGCGATCTGCCTTACCCTGCCTCTCAGCAAAGAATTCAGAACTCTCCATAGAAGCCCAGAAGGATACGGACGTTCGATGCTCGACAAATAGTACGTTAGCCAATGGATGGCGGCGCTGTAATCATCTCTCCATCTCTCTTAATCTTACGGCGATACACGGCGAATTGCATTCTTTCTTTATCTTACCCGCAATACTCGCCTTTCTTTATGCGTCTCTCTTCTTCCCATACATGAGACATCGTTGGTTAACACGTGCGATGCTCGACAAATAGTACGTTAGCCAATGGATGGCGGCGCTGTAATCATCTCTCCAACTCTCTTAATCTTACGGCGATACATAGCGAATTGCATTCTTTCTTTATCTTACCCCCAAACTCGCTTTTCTATATGCGTCTCTCTTCCTCCCGTACATGAGACATCGCTGGCTACACATGCGATGCTCTACAAATAGTACGTGAGCCAACGGATGGCGGCGCTGTAATCATCTCTCCAACTCTCTTAATCTTACGGCGATACATAGCGAATTGCCTTCTTTCTTTATCTTACCCCCAAACTCGCTTTTCTATATGCGTCTCTCTTCCTCCCGTACGTGAGACATCGTTGGTTAACACGTGCGATCTCTCTTCAACCCCCTCTTCTGGTTTGTAGCCAACTTTTAGAGCACCAAGCGCTAACATAGGATCTGGGCTTCTATGGGACTTCTGAATTCTTAGCTCTCGGTCCTTTCCTTCGATCACCTTGAAACTCCCGTCTTTTGTCTCGAAGTGTCCATAGACCTTGCTTCCCTCCACTCGCTCTTGACTTCCGCTTCACCCGGTCTGGTGGTTGGCTCCGACCACTGGCAACCGTCTCGAAGCGCATCCGCAGGAGTGAGTCCTCCGTGAGAATACTTGCAAACTCTGTACATAATCCCCTGCATAGTAACGTCGGATCCTTTTTACAAGTTAACGCAATAATCTCACGAGGCGTCTATCTCCGCTGTCATTCCTAATGGGCTGTCTATAAGTCGAGGCGTCACCGCGAGATGCCGTCCGAGCTCCCCCAGGACAGGGATCGGCGAGGAAGATTGAAGGAAGAATCCGTAATCCGTTGATCGACCGATCAACCGTCGCCCCCTGGTGCCAGAAATTAAAACCCACTTCCTGCGCACCCTCCCGAATGCGCGATCCTTTCCCCGGGATTTCGTCGACCGCCAAAATCCCGGAGATGGGAAAACGTTCCCTCGTGCTCGCGAGTAACGAGCAAATAAGGCTTCGTCATTGGGTGCATTAAGAGGAGACAACTGTTGAGTGATCGGTTAGCGCTCATCTGCTAAATGGGTACGTTTACTCAACATGTTTACTGATCAGACCATTCTGATCGCCATTTTCGGTAGAAAATCGCAACATGTTCCCAACTCATCGGTCACCGCTTTTCTCCTCTGAATGCACCCATTCGAATCGAACGAGCTGACCTTTTATGTAAATCAACCCTGTTATTTTCTAGTGTAAATAAATATTATTGTAATAATAATCCTGTTTCTTAGAAAAGGTCGATCGCGTTTTCTTCCAATCCCATCCAGTTATCGGGGGCTATGGGAATGTTTCTAGCCTTTCCTATGGTAAGTACCGTGTAACAATGTCCAAGATGAAACACGGTACCTCAGGAGATAAGATGATAATCGTAGGACATCCCAAACCTGTTCAAATCTACTTAGAATAGGATAATGACCTCATAAAGTCTGAAAATTCTAACGTGACAGGGACAGGGTATGCCAAAGTGTACGTATATACAATTAAGGTGATACGAAAGGGTCATTCTATATATGTAAAACAAAAATATGTATTAAACTTTTCTCCATATTGGGTGCACCGAATCATTTGAAACATCAGCAGGTGATTATGAAGGCCCTAAGGAAGAACGTAGTGCTCATGAAATGTGATTTTTTCTCCCCAAAAAATGTATTCTTGGTTCTAGTCTGGCAAGGAAACATTCCCAAGTGTCCGGCGCCGATCTTACTGATTTTTATATATGTTGAAGAACACAAAAATCTAAGAGACACGTGTTTTTTTTTATCTGCAATGGTCCACATTTAAAGGGGACCAATATAGTGACAAAGAATACAGGAGACATCTGTATTCTCTGATAGTGACCAATTCACTGTACATAAATCGTGTGAACGTGCTAATTCATCAAAACATCGTAGGTTTTCATAACATGCAATTATTTATAAATAAATTTAAAAAATAGTTTCAGATTGAAATTATTTCGCAACAGATTCGATGACGATATAACCCAATAAAGATAGTCGGGATATACCAATATACCACTTACATCCATTGTTTTTAACCGATATATAAATGTTTATTGGCAAAAAGCAAAAAACACGTATTTCCTCATTTTTCGTGAGCAATCACATGGCGTAAGTGGAGCTTAAGTAGGAATGCTTGTTCAATAGATGTCACAATAAAATTTCGCCTGAAGGTTAGTTCACCCCCTTGAGGTGGTGTAGCATTCCTGGACAATAATTTTACTATGTATATATCACACTTTCATATCACCTTAAACATCATGATTGGCACATTTTTCTAGGTCACTGATTTTTCGTAAAAAGTGCTATATATTTTTATTGCAACAACTTTATAGCTAATATTTAAGACGCGTTCAATAATTCCAACAATATCGATGTCACAAATTATAGATTACTTATTTAAACGGTACCCTAATACATAAGAAATATTAATAATAATGAGAGCAACCCCTAGTATTGTACACGGTTACAATATATTTCTTTCGATTTTAAAGGTTTAATAAAGTAGAATCAATGTTTTAAAAAATGTCGACGTAACATTCAATAACGAAATAGAGAAACAAGAAAATGAATGAAGTGTCACCTTGGAGACAGCTCAATTTTTACCTTTTTATTTTAATTTATGAAATACTCAGGTTGCTCATACAATCCTGAATGTTCTACATGTCATCCAATAAATTATCATAGATGTAATAACATTTGTACTGCAATAGTGCAAACAAGTTTCCTATGAAAGGAAATAGAAGTATATCTCAAAATGTCTTTAAAGTATTCTTCTTTTTTTACGATCTTAGATTATTTGTATAGTATGATCAAACATACAGAAATATGATTTTCAACAATTAATTAGATTAAGACATGAACTGCGTAACCATGCAATCTCCTTTTCTCAGTCATTACTAATCAAGTAGTTCATTAATACTTCACAAATAATGTTCTATCAACCATGCAAATAGTAAAGAAATAAAATATACATGAATATGAAATCGTTCTTCAAGCCAAAAAGTAAATGAAACCTATTATACTCATATTCATTAAAAGAATACTTTTAATAATATCAGATTGTTGATATTTTGACTGAATACCTCTAAATCGAAAACCCTATGTGTTAGAATCATAAAAAGTTCGCAATATTGCCGCTATAAAAATAAAAAATGAATATATACATATATATGTGTGTATATACATATATATTCGTTCATATGCGTATGACACGAGCGGATATATTTTACCGATAATATTACTAAGTTAATAAATGTTATTCTCCTTCGCACATTTAATACGAACTCGTATTATCTTGTAAATTGTTAATTCCTAAATATAATTGTCGGTAACTGCTGAACACAGCGAGATCGTTGTGCTTGCGCCTATCATAATTTTCAAAACGAGCATTAAAATATATTACATACAATTTCAGGCGTGGACTGGAATTTGGCTACTCCGTAATACTACTTCACATGTTCGTGCATTGTAAATTGTGCATAAAATATCTGTCAAAAAATAAAATCATCTAAAATTACAAGTTTCATTCTGCATATAATTTTACAGCACATAACTGCGTTTTAATTACTCCTATAAACGTATTTCATCCTGTAAAATACAATGTCGTATGATTCGTCAGATGAAATAACCACTAAAAATATAAAAATACTGGGAATAGAAATACTCGGCAAAATATCAATTTTAAACATGCGCAAGTAGGTGACGTAAATAAATCTCATTAATATAAATACTAAGTCGCAAACGTTTTTACAATGATATAATTGAGATTAAAAATCCCACGATTTAAAGAAATTAGAGTATGTATTGACTGGAGTATATAGATCCTAAATATAGGTAAAAATCCACTTAAGCTCGTGTACAATATATCATGTGTACAATTTATCTAACCGTGAAAGTCTATATTTTCGATCAAAGATTCGAGTAACGACATATAAATAGACTTTTTAATTCGTTGCACATTCAATGATAATAAAATGCCGTTATATTATATTGTATAAAAATTCGGTGTATAAAAATGCGTAACTTCCCGCCACTAATCTTACTTATGATTCTGTAATGTCTTCTTAAATTATTTTCCATACGAAATGTTTTAAGAATCTCATCGTGGGCACTTCCGTATTGTGCCTAGTTTTACACTTAAGCCTAACATTAAATTTTTGGTCCTTTAAAGTATTGCTATTCATCGCTACATAACCTATATTCTTCCCTTAGACTCTGATATTTCTAAAAAATCTTGAGTAAATCCCAACAACATGGTAAAATTGAGTTTTCATTGAACATCATTAAATTTCTTCTAATGTTACTTTGCAAAACCTCCTAAAATTGGCAGTTTATTAACTTCAAATATTTATGAATATACGTAATAAACGTAATTCGTAACCCGACACAGCAAGCTAAGTGTTACGAGCGAAGTTCACTAAGCAGGCCTAAATTTATAACCCATAGCATCTTGGACAATCATCATAGATAGTCTATTTCTCTCAGAAATAAATCGTGATATTGCCGATTAATTATGGATAAAAACAGCATTCAATTCACAAATCACATAAATATTTAAATAAAATATTTCCCAGATAATAAAAAATCATTACCAGCGTTACATCTATCAGTGTCGATGCCCTGCTTCAATGATTACCTAGGATGCCTGCTTTCTAATTCCAAAGAGCAAAGGGAATAGCTCTACATAAGAAATCTCACGCTACGTCCGCTCGTCGGAACATTGTTTCCGCTCCTCTTCGACACGTTGTCTAGTTCGATTAAAGGCTTCAGTTTTCAAAAAATCCACAGTCTTGTAAACCGTGGTATTCGGAGGTGACTGAGCTGGTGACAAGGTTGAGGAAGAAAAACTCTCTCTTGATTCCAGATCGAGATCTAAGTACTGCAGAACTACCAAGCGACGATTGGAGGCGGGAATAAACGTGTTATTATCCTGGTAATAATATATCTGTAAAATATAACATTACGAATTAATATTCCAAAGCAAGAAACGTCATATTGTTGCCAAATATTGCAAGTTTTAATGGCTCAGTAGTAAATAAATTTTTAGAATTATTCATGCATTAAGGTAATATTTTACACTCCTTAAAATGTTCAAGTGCAATAAGCATACCTCCTCCTTATCCTCGAAGGTATTTGTATCCTCATCGGATGTGGATTGATGACGAGTCGATAAGGAATGTGATGGAGGTGTAGGACTGGGAGCTGCTCGCATTCTACCCCTCCCAGGTGGAGAAGCGAGTTGTAGTGGTCCTGTAATCATAAAGAAAATCATTAGCAACACAGATAAAGTATGACTTACGCTTTACCTATAATTTTAATTAACTGCATGTAAAAAGCACTTACCTTCTAATGGGGATTTATTTAAAGGAGGTTTCAGCTTTCGATTAATACTAGGTGGTTCAGCAGGAGAATGTTCAGTAGAACTCGGATCTGGCACAGGCAAAACAGGGCCTGGTGATGGTTCGTTACTTATAATAGACGTAGAATCACTAGTTTTTCTTCCTGGTTTCAATTCTCTATAGACTATGGGAGGAGGTGGAGCCACTATTGTTGGTACAGACCCAGAAGCATCTTTAATAAGTGGACTTGGCAAGTTTAAATATGTAGCTGTTGTTGAGCTTTCCGAGTAAGGACTGGATGGTTCATCTTCATGAAAATCATACCGAAATACACGATCATCTACAGTGGATGGAGCAGCATTAGTATAACAATGCTTGCCCGGTCGTCCTATTGTATTAGTGTCTGAAATTGTTCCAGGTTGATGAGATCTCGGAAAGTCGTATGTTTCATCCGTTAATACAGCACTTGCAGGAGTCGTAGACGCTGGAGTAGCAGGAGTTGTCGGTTTAGAACTCTCTGTAGCACCGTCTAGATTCAAATAATTATGACCAGGATTTTCTGGTAACATGTGAGGTGGTTTTGGAGGTCTTGGAGGTGCTGGTATTTTTTCCACAACAGGAGGTGTAGCAGAATCCACAATACGAAGTTTCCCAAATCTTTTCCTCACGCTCCAAGAACCAATTTCAGCATCACTTAAGCTATGGGATGGTTTAGACTCACCTGCAACAAGTCTTGTAATTTAGATTAAACTAAGAAAGATGATACAATTCTTTGCGTACATTGACAATTACCAGAACAAGGAAACGTTTCCCAATTAACGCTAGGTACAGGAGCAGCCCACTCATCATCTGTAAAAACACTTTCCGCATCAGTCGTTGTCGGAGATCTAGGTGGAGAAGGAGCCAATCGTCTAGGCGCATCATAATGTTCAGGGCCTTGCCCAAAGGCAGAACTGAGAGAACTAGTATCGTTCAGTCGGCGACCAGAAATACATTCACTGATAGGAATATAAGGTCCAGATATCGTACTAGTAGGTGAAATAGGTGGAGACTCTTGCGATTCAAACTGAAACACTGTAAATTTCGTCAATAAATTACGGTTACACGTTAAAGGAAATCACGTCATAACGATCGGGTACATTTAACTTACTCTGACATGGTTGTTCTTCATCTTGGGTGTACGCTTTTAGCCCACAAACTTGACAAACAGCATCAACCCATTTATTCATATCCATCTCACTTTCAGCGACTAAATAGTACGTTCTCTTGGGCGTTTTAACATTAAACATATATTGATATTTTTGTTTCCTATTCTCAAATCTCAAACCTGCATCCACTTGCTCACACTGATCGAGATCTATGCGACCCTTTAGTTTCCGGCAACGCCTATCCGTATAATATTCAAGAAAGTACTGTCCAGGCAACTCCCCACTGTGACGCAGAGCAAACCATCGTTTTCTCCATCTCTACAACCCAAAGAAAAAACCCCTCTAAATACATAAACAAAACCAAAAGAAACCTGATAAAAACAAAGACCAGTAACGGAGATGCAATGTTATTGATTCGACTACATTAAATCTGACCGTTAAACTATTTCAAAAACATCACTTAAACCGCATTCTCTTTTACGAGCAACCATGAGATAAATTTCATAAAATTCGGATACTGAACTATAAGAAAACTGTCAATGAGCAAAAATTTTGAGGTTAGGAAGATCTTATTATTAAAAAAATTGGTCGAAACTCGTGTGATGAAAAACAGAGCATTGACTTCCGAAATAGGTTAAACCAACGATATTTGGTACTTTACATCAAAATACGCGTACGAAGGAGCCGCGTAACAATCGCGGCTTTGTACAACGTAAACAATAGCATCTCCTCGAGAAGAAATCTTGCCAAGATTACCGACCGCTCGCCAGAGTTTTGTGGGCGGTGATTTGATCAGCCATCCTTCGTGCACAATTTCTTGAGTGGTTTTGAGCACCTCCATGTCCTTCTTCCTCCTTAATTGCACATCAAACTTGCTTAGACATTGTTCTTGGACGATTGACACCCAACCGACAGAGACATGGCACTCATGATCATACTCTTTCCGTCTACCTATCTATTTTTAGACGATACACTCGCAGTCCACTTTCACGGACATACCGTTGCAAATCTCGCTTTCCATTCCCTATCACTCAATTGCTGCTTCATGCATTTGTCTCTTTCTTCACCCCACCAATGTAACGATATGGGTATACTTCAGACGAAAGGACAGTCTTCAAACTATGCTCCAAACCCTGTGAAATACTGTGAAATAATCCCGAAACGATCCCCTTCCTAGTTGAAGTCTGGTTTATGCTTCCGTCCTAACCTTAACTTAACCCTTACTTAAGGACTGTGTATCCACGATAAAGAACTCTATTGAAGTCTTTGTCAAATCTTTTATGACGGAGTCCTACTGAACGCGTTTGATATCACACAGACCGCGTCGCGTTAACGCGTCGAAGATGAACAACCAATAAGAACTGTGCTTAATCAGGTGCGTTATTTCCATCGCAGTTTTCATTGGCTTTTCATCTTTGACACGTGACGCGCCAGCTCGTTGGAATCATAAACATAGGATATATGGACCCTGAACATGGACGTTAGAATATATGTCCAGAGAATAAACTAGCGGACGAATGCCGAAGTAAGAGAGGAACACGTTGACACAATAGAAGGTAGCCATATTGTTGTGCCAAAAGCATCAATGCTTACTGAACTCTGTGTGGCAAGGATGCAGAGACAGCCAAATCTATCTGGGACAAAGCTTGCCGTGTATTCTAAAACGTGATGAGCGTTTTAGATTACACTATTAAATAATTCATGCTTACATGACATGATACAAACATTATATTGTTGAACTTTTAATTATAGTACATGCAAATATGAATGTAATACACATTTAAAAAATATAGATAGACTAGAGTCATTTTTTTTACTTTTAATGGCTTTCCCTGCTACCTATAACCCACTACCTCTCAACAATTTTCAATTTACAAGGTATGTACCTTTATTTAAAATATTACTAGACCGGAAGTACTAGTGATCTCGTTTTTTCGTACAGCGAATACGTACTTCAGCGTATACACCCACGTGAGATGAAAGTGCGAGAAGTGAATGCTCTCGTCAAAAATACATAATAAACGCCCTGTTCCAGAGTATGCTATGGACGTAAAAATACATCCATGGGATATACTTTGGGGTATACGAAATCGTTAGTTCTTGGTCCATGATGGCGCTGATATCCTGGCAGCCTGTGTGAAGTTGGCAACTAGCCGTCTATACTTTTATAGTCAAAGCCCCCAAGCATCTCTGGTAATAAATGTTATTAAAATATATGAATTAGAGTTCCATTTACTTCCAGCTAAAAATGTTTACGTACAACTTCACGGGAATTCACGTGATCTTGCCGAGAACAGGGCCGAATTTCATTAATCCGATAGCGTCGTTCGAGGAAACGAATAAGAGGTTTCGATTGACCATAGAAAACGTAAAACAAGAAGTTCCTCCTCTCCGGTATTTCTCTACAACCAATCCACCTCTCATTTACTCCGTAGCAAATATTGAAATTCTCATAATTGCTCTAAAAAAAACGCTGTGGAAAAATTACCGATAAATTACCAGGAATTTTTCATCGTTCCTGACGTAACTTACCACGTTTAGAACTCTATCCACGAGAGCAATGACGTATTTCAGTCTCTATTTTACAGACCTTAACCTACCACAGCGACTCTGGTGGTCAACAGTTGTACGAAAATCGTAATGAAATATCGATCGCTTTATAACCTAACAACCGTCTTGTTACGACAAAGCAAATATGCCAGAAAAAGTTGTCATATTTTATAATTCTAGTTCCCACACTTGAGAACTTTTCTGCGCCTGGAGAAGAGAAAATACAGTATAATGATTGCGTAGAGTAGATAGAATAATGCAACAGATGAATGATTACATAGCATAGGAATTATACAGCAGTATTTTTAACTTTCAAATATTTTATACATATCATTGAGATATGTATAAAAGGACATTGATCTTTAAAATATTTTAGAAGCTATGCCGATTCACATGAAATTTAGCACGTAATGTATATCGACATGAAAAATTAAATATATATATTTTTTCAATAATTTTTGTTCAAAATTAAGACAAAGACATGTATGTATGAACAACCAGTGTTAATTTTTCGACGGTACAAATATTGTCGACCTAATAGAGTATTAATCATCGAATGATCATTTTGCCAATACAAGCTGCTCATATATAGGATCTATTCAGTTTATCTGAACATTTTTAGTGTATTTTTTTTTATAATAAAATAACCAATGAGGAACTTCTACCGCTCTCTACGATGTTCCCAAATTATAATTTTGTAGTATTAATAACAAGAGAAATTACCTTCAAGCAAGCCTTTTTAAAAGCTTTTATATACATCATTCTAACATATTCCTGGATCTAATAATTTCCCTACGTGTCATCACCTAATAATGCTTAATCCAATTTTTATGTAAATTGAAACATTTACACATACTGGTAGAAAATGGCAAGAGTACTCCATCAGTCTTTTCTTAACATGTACCATATTTTGAATAATAAACTCACGATAAGTATCTTGACATATAGTGCGTACAATTGCGTTAAATTACCGTTGACTCAAAATTGTCATATTTTGAATAGTGCATTTTACAGCAACAGTATCCAAATTGAAATTCATTGCCTAAAATTTGAAGAAAAAAAAAAAAAAGAAAAGTCAAAATCAGATCCACTAATTTTCTCAATTCACAGAATAAAATGTCAATTACCGTCAAACTCACTATACTCAAAAGTAATAAAAGAAACTAAGGACACTTAACATTTTATCTCCTGGAAGCCTATTAATCGACTAATCGAATATCCGTGATCGGCATTTACTTCCACATTCGCCGGTAGATAAAGGGTAAAAATAACATAAATCCCATAACATGTCGCCTCCACCTCTGCCAAAAGAGTTTAAAAAAAGCGACAATATGATTGACATGCATTCGATGCAACAACTCTGAGAGCATAAAATTTCGCACCGTTTATTGTATAAAATCATTAAATGCCTTGGCAATAATACTACAAGAAGACAGTTATCTAGTAGCGTGATCCTTGTAAATTGTACATTGATAATCAGTAATAATCGACATCACTATAATTATCATTATTGTTGTCCTCGTTAAAATTATTACACATCGCTGTTAAATTGCTCAACGTTCAAAACAGCGCATCCCTTATACACACTTAACAACATTTGTGTCTTAGATTCTCCGCATTTATACATATGTATATATTCATATATTTATACGTCGTGTCTTATATATTTTCTACATAGGGTAATAATAGATCGGTAATAATAATCATTTACTATCTATCCTCTCCCTGTCCGCTTGACTCTACCTCTCGTTTCCTTGCACTCATGGGTTCGTTCGATTTTTTACGAAAGAGGACGCTGCGTTCGTGAGAAAAAAAAGGGCTTCCAGAAGTACCGGAGAACAAAGTAGAGTCGAGCATATCGAAGAACGTTTTATTAAATAATTACTTTACAGTCCTAAGTAAAGTAAGATCGTCCAGGGTCGTTGAGACGAAGGTCAGACCGAGCGTCCAACGCGTCACAGTGTGGGGTAAAAATCGCTAGGGATTTATGGGGCTCTATAAGGGTAACGAGCAAATCGTTGATCGTACCAGAGATGATCCCTGATCGTACGCATCGGAGGGAACGTCTAGGGATCTTTTCAATTTGCGCTTAATACACTAGGTATACCTAGAAGTTCCCTCCCGGCTGCCTAGAAAAACACGACGCGCTGCTCTTGGGGTGGCATATCCCCCAAATCGTCGCGTTCCGATCGATAGCTTTAGCCTCTTAGAAATCCGCTATGGGAGGAGATACGTATAAAATGTTACTCCACCGTCGAGTAAGACCGCGATGCCCGACAACGACTCGGACGGCCCCGAGATCCACTTACAAGGAAGGTATCCCATGTATCAATCTCTCCGATTTCATTTCTTTTACAATATGTTATAGTAGACTAAAAACTAAGCGACACGTATTTTTTTTTATCCGCCATTAAACCCTTTAAGGGGGTAAAACCACCATCCAAAGTTAAGCCTGTGAGGGGTGGCTCACCCCTTAATTTTTTTTATTTCAATTGAGAAAATTATATTTTTAATTTCTCGTCATGAGAAATCTTTTCCAGGTGGATTGTTAAAAAAAATAATATGTTCTTGTTGGTGAGATTGCCAAATCGCCCTTTGACATGCCTTACTTTGGATGGTGGTTTCACCCCCTTAAACTGTTTAATGGCAGATAAAAAAAAATACGTGTCGCTTTGTTTTTAGTCTACTATAACATTATATAAAAGAAATCAANCACCCCTCGCTGGCCTTACTTTGGATGGTGGTTTCACCCCCTTAAAGTGTTTAATGGCAGATAAAAAAAATACGTGTCTCTTAGTTTTTAGTCTATTATATCATATTATAAAAGAAATGAAATCGGAGAGATCGGAACCTGGGATACCTTCCTTGATCAGAGCATAAGGCGACGAGGCTAAGTTTGTTTTTTTTATTACCCCTTCTCTCCTTTTGATACGTTCGTATAATCGTTACCGCGCGATATTTACGGCTTAACTTTTTAAATCGATTCTTTGATACAAGGTCGAAGGCCTTGTATCAATATATCACCCCTAGATCGTCCCCCTAGCGACACGAGGTTTCCTAGGACTTCTTTTCGACATTTCGGGGCTCTCCGAATTCTTAAGTACACGGAATTTTGGTGCCATCGGGCAAGAGCAAAGAAGTAGAGGGAGCGAGAGAGAGGAAGTATGGATTTTTGTCGGGGCGGCTTTCCGTTCCAGTCCCCTCGCTTCTGCGTTTTTAACCCGTAATGGCTGACTTCGAGTCTCCCTCCGCCGCCATTACGGAGTTCGCGTCGCTCGGCTATTTATTGCTTATTATTACAAAAAGCAATTCTCTTTACTCTCTCTTTAGAAATAATCACCCGGATATGATAATGACTCATTCGATTCCCCTTAGAGGACTCGATGGGATTTTACATATTCACCAATGACTCGTTACCCGCTACTTGACTTCGCAATGACTGTACAAAGAGCGAATGGGAAAACCAGAGGGACCGTTTTAGCGGACCCGACTCGACTCTTGGATTTGCACTTATAAACTTTTAATGCTACTTTACGC